CTTAGAAGCTGACGTGGCTGACATGTCAATCAGATATACTTGAAGGTAACGTTTGACCCACTGTGCGTCAAAGTGTCGATGCGCTCAGTTATAAATATAAATAAAGTAAACGCAACTGGCTTACCATGTTTTATTTCAAATCGTGTACAAACCAAATACGTGTTTGCTCGAAACTTTTCTATTTTAAGTTGTTTTAAAAAAAAAACTCCCACACTCAGGGGGGTAGTTGCCCCCCGTGTCCCCCCGCTAACTACGGCCATATATAATAATGAAGGAAATACCTTTGTTGCACCAAGAGTACAATGGGTGCTGGCTTTGCATCAACACAAGATTAGACAGTCTGAATCGCAGTGTTTCACACTAATGAGAAAACGCCTTCCGCGTTAAGTGTTTTTTACAAAAACATTTGTTCACAATTTTATAAACCGGCATGGAAATTCCTACAACCAATGCAAATTCTGTTACTTTGCATGTGTACTATGATTGCATATTTTAATACATACACACTCAAAATATTTATTATATAACTGGGACAAAAGAAAGCATTATTTTTCCATGACATTTCCCCTATCTGTGTAACTTCATATTTTAGTATAAGGTAGTAAAAATTTATATACGTTAACTGGGAAGTAATATATCCTGGCTAGTTTCTAGTGCACCCCTCATATTACTTGACAATAGTCTACAAATATTATTGTAAGCTATAACATTGGTATAAGTTAACTGGGATGTAATATATCCTAGCTAGTTTCTAGTGCACCGCCTCATATTACTCGACAATAGTCTACAAATATTATTATAAGCTATAAAATTTATATACGTTAACTGGGATGTAATATATCCTAGCTAGTTTCTAGTGCACCCCTCATATTACTTGACAGTAGACTACAAATATTATGTCGGAACCACAATCGAACTGCGGAAACCACAAAGAGATACGTTATGTACTTAAGTTAATTATTATTGAGTTAGTTGATTGGCTATTCAGTTAACAAGTTACGT